CCCTCCCTTCTCCATAGACTTAACTGAACCCTCTCCCTCCCTTCTCCATAGACTTAACTGAACACTCTCCCTCCCTTCTCCATAAGCTTAATGACAGAAGTCAAGAAAAGTCTTACTATGGAAATTCCAAACCAATGGAAGGAGCTGGTCCTAGCAATGAGTGAACTGGAAATGGCAGATAATGCAAATGATGGAGTATGGGAAGCATGGGGTGGGTGGGTGTGACAAATCCAGGAAAAAAAAATCCAGAAATTATCCACAGTACAGTCCCTTTATTTTTTACAGTTGGAGTTGCAATGTAGCTTGAACACGTATAGTAGAAAGAGTTTAGGTTGAAGAAGCAGCAACGTCCAAGTCAAGTTGGATTTGGTAAATCATCTATGGGGTTCAGACTTATTTGTAAAATAACAAAGAGCCCCTGAAGAGTTTTTAACTAGAGTTGGACCATTCAGATTTGTATTTCAGGAAAATCATTTTGGAGGACTGGAGAAGGTAGAGGCCAAGTTGATTTGTCAGAGAGAAAAACATTAATAGCAGACATCTTATTTTGACCTCCTGGCTTGTCTTACCCATGAAACTTTTAACTCAAAAAAATCTTGACTCAAAATGAATATTTCCAGCAGTTCTTTTCCATCCAAATTGACTAATCTTACCTTTCCTATTCTAAAAAAAAGGTTAACTTTATTGAAAGTTCAAAAGGTGACACAGCTGCAAATGAGTGGCGGGCCAGAGACTGACTACCTTCGAACCTGCTCTCACCTGTTGACCTCAGTAAAAGGAGAAGATCTGGGTCAATCAATCAGGTTAAGATTAGCCAGGGTTAATCTTCCTCTTTGCTTCTAAGCTTCATTATTACTAGTCTATTTTGAGTCACTGCTTTGGGTTTGAAACCAGAATGGTCTCCTTATTCAGAATAACTACTCAGAATAAACTTTATGCTTTCATTTATTTGATTATGTTTATCATATAGAACTGCCAGTAGAGATGGAGAAGAGGAAGTGAAGAAAAGTGAAAGGATTCAATAAACTCATAAAAGTATAAAATAAAAAGATTGATATCAAGGCTAAAAGAATTTAGTAAGAATTAAGAATGACATGCACATTTCTGATGTGGTAACTTGGAGCATATGATGCCAACTATTAGAGCTAGCATATATAGGATAGGGGGCAGAGGTGAAGAGAAGATGATCAATAGGTTCTTTTTTTTGGTCACTCTGTAAAAATGAGTCATGTGACATATTTGACTTTTTCTTTTTAAGGAAATGTTTTTTATCACCTGAAATATAAATTCTTTAATGTTAAAAAGGTTTAAACTTATTATATTACAAAATTTCTTTCCTTAAATCTATTGGTACATTTTAAAAATTATCAACAGTGGATTAAAAGTACATTAGAAAAAATACTATTTGAAAACATGGTGGTTAATGACTTATTTTCTTCCTCTTCTCTTTTGTGTTCATGAGATTATTCTTCAGTGGAATACAGTTGTATTGTCTTATAAATGGCTTTATCTTGTTTTTATTCAATATTACCCATGACTTTGTTTCCTTTCTACATGACTTTGTAATTATTACAGTTACTTTTATATAGATATTGATGACCTTACATATTGAGGTCAGGAATGATGCTTATGTTATTTAAAGTACACTAGTACTATAGGAGTCCTGGTGGTACCCTCAGGTAAGTGGTGGACTGCTAACCATAGTTCAGTGGTTCACACCTACCAGCCATTTCGAGGGAGAAAGATGAGGCTACCTTCTTTCACAAAGATTCATAGCCTTGGGAACCCTACATGAGTTTGCTATGAGTCAAAATTGATTATATGGCTGTGTTAGACAGGTTACTAGAGAAAACAAATCCAGAGACACTCATAAAAGAGATTTATATTAGGGAGTAATTTTATATCAAGAAAACCTCTCAGCCCAGTGCAGCTCAAGTCCATAAGTCTGATGTTAGCCCATAAGTCCAATACTGGTCCATAAATCCCTCTTCAGACTCATGCAGCGCATGCAATGATGCAAAATGTAGGAAGGTCACAAACCAGTGGGTGCAAAGTCTTGTGGATCCAGTGGTAGTGGAAGCATCTCCAGGGCCCTTCTAGGTCTCAGTGCGGCTCCACTAGTTTGTCATTAGGAAGGTGAAGGGAGAGAGAGGATGTTTCCAGAATCCTATGAGAAGGCCACACCCACGAGGAGGCATCATCAGGTTGTGAGATGACTGACAAGCTAGATTCCACCCCCACACTTATTTATCAAGTTGACATGAAATTATGTAACTACCACAAGGGTACAGGGTTTAGTTTTTGGTTTTGTACCTTAGAGAAGGTGCTGTTTGGTACTGGGACTAAGGGCTCAGTTGGTAAACAAAAGGTCAGACATTGGAACCCATCAGCTACTTCATAGAAGGTGGAGGTGGCCACCTGCTTGTATAAAGATTCTGCTGTGTCCCACACGGTTTCCATGGGGCAGAAGCAACTCAACAGCAACACATTTGTTTGGTTGTCAATATGTGTCTAGGCTATCAATTATTTTAGTACTTCCTAGTTACTAAACGACTCAAGAGGTCTTATCTTGAATGTAACAGTTTCTATTACTGGAACAAATGATGAAGTCTTACTCAGAAAGTCAGTCTTTTATTTCTTCAGTATGACTGTATTTCTTTTTCTCTTTTTTGCATAAGCTCCGTTTTATTAAGTGGGATGCTGCAGTGGGAACTGGGGCGCTTAAAAAAAATTAGACCATTTGGGCCCAAGGCTCTCAGGCCCCTCCCCACCAAGATCTCTGAGACAACAGCTGGGTATCAAACGACTTTAGACTTTGTCCCAAGGAATGGTACAAAAGGAAGAACGGAAGTGGGTGCTTGGGTACAATTTCTAGATAGGGGACAGGTCTACCCCACGTGCATGCGTTGCCCTGGTGACTTGGGGAAGAGGCCAGGCTGCCGCTGAGCTCCCCCCACCCCCTCCCATCACTGTCTCCCAGGGTTCGCTGGCCGGAGAGGTGCTCGGCCAGGCTGGAATGCGGGGCCCCCATCTTGCACGGGATGGTGACATAGTCGCCCAGCCCTTTGAGGGTTTCACCTGCTCGTCCAGGTCCTGTGTCTCCACGAAGGCTCGGAGATGGGGTCGGTCCTGTCCGTGGCCAGTGTGTGCAGCTCCAGCAGGGACTGATGACGCTCCGCCCCGGGTGCAGGGCGCCCTCCATGTCCCTGAGCCCGCCCTCCCAGTGTCATGGTCAGGTTTCTGGATAGCCTGATTTTCATTAGGTTCTCCACATACTCCTGCTCCTCGTGAGCCTGCTGCAGAAAGTAGTTGGCAAGATTGGTCACAGCCACGTCTTGCCAGTGGAAGTGATAAGCCGTGGACAGGGAGACGTCCAAGGCGGGGGCTCCAGGCAGTTGTGGCGGTTGATGGCGACCGCCGGCCAGTCCTGGTTGCGGGTCTGGCACACCTGTGAGGGAGATGCGGTCGAGTATGACTGTATTTCTTTATTCTATTCATATTTAACCATTGGTGTATTAATAATACAAATAATGAGAAAAGACCATTTATCTTTCAGAATACTTAGTAAGTCAGGAATTAAAAAACTTAAAAGGTAGCTATGTAGGTTATAAAGAATAGGTGCCTATCTTTGAGGGTGTTAGGTGGTACCTCATTGTTGTTTTAATTTGCATTTCTCTTATGACTAAAGATTGGGAACATTTTCTCATGTCTGTTGGCCATTTGGATTTCTGCCTCTGTGAAACTTCTGTTCAGGACCTTTGCCCACCTCCTTGGTGGGCAATTAGTTATTTTCTTTTTGGAAGCTAGCAGAGTATTGTAGATTTTAGTAATAAGGCCTTTGTCTGTTGTGTCATTGCTAAAGATGTTTTCCCAATCCGTGGACTCTCTTTATTACTCTCTTGGTGAATTCTTTCGATGTACACAGGTGTTTTATCTTCAGTATATCCCATTTGTCAATTTGTGCCTCCTCTGTGTTTGTGTCCTTCCCTAATTCTGATAGTCTATGTATTCCCTGTGCCAAAGTTCTCAAGTTGGTCCCAATTCCCTCATTAATGGCCCTAATAATTTGGGGTTTAACTTCCAGGTCTGTGATCCACCTTGAGTTTATTCTTGTGCATGGAGTGAGATAAGATTCTTGCTTCATTTTTCTGCAGGTGAATATCCATTTTTTCTAGCACCATTTGTTAAAGAGGGCGTCTGCTTCCCATTGGATATTTTTGGGGCCCTTATCAAAGATCAGTTGTGTGTATGCTGATGATTTTATTTCTGAGTTTTCAGTTCTTTTCCATTGGTCTGAGTATCTGTCATTGTACCAATACCATGCAGTTTTGACAACTGTGGCTGTCTAGTATGTGCTAAAGTCAGATAAAGCAAGCCCTGCCACTATGTCCTTCTTCCTAAGAAATTCTTTTAAAAATCAGAAAGCAACAAGAGTTGGAGGTCCTCTGGGGAGACAGGAACTCTCATCCACTGCTGCTGGACCTGTAAGTATGTACAGCCACTATGGAAATTGATTTGGCGATTTCTAACACAAATGGAAATTGAACTACCATACGACACAGCAATCCCCCTACTGGGTATATACCCAGAAGAGATAAGAAACAAACCAAGGCCAGACATCTGTGCTCCAATGTTCATTGTGACACAGTTCACAATTGCAAGGAGTTGGAAACAACCCAAATTTCCATCAACTAACGAGTGGATCAAAAAGCTGTGGTATATACATACAATGGAGTACTACACATCGCTAAAAAGCAGTGATGAATGTATGAAGCACATCGCTGCATGGGAAGTACTGGAGGAAATCATGCTAAGCGAAGTAAGCGAAGCACAAAAGGACAAGTACAACATGAGGCCGCTGAGGTAAGCTTTTAGAAAAAAAGCAAAAGAGGCATAGGGAAAAAGCTACTGTATACAAACATTCCTGGGGTGAGGACCAGGTAGTATGGCAGGGACCA